GTAAACTATCTGTTGGTGCAGTGAATTGTGGTATTGCTGGGGTATCTTTGCTGATGGTGTCATCGGTGGTACAATTTTTCCAATAAGAGCCGTCATTTGGCTTGGTGCCGTGGCATTTTGCATCCTCCTCCCTTTCTGCTTGTGATGGTCTAAAATTTGGGGGCCAACAGAGGTGAGGCAAAGAACYTCACCCCCCCACTGGTGCAAAGGCCTATCCACAAGTATGGCTGTATGCTGGACCGGTAGCCAATGACAGGTAAGATCCAATTACAATGGTACCAACCTAAGACAGGAGGCTGACTACTTGAGGTCAGCTCATCCAATGATGGGTAAGGACCATATGTAGTATTGGACAACCTAAGACAGGCACGGTCCCTAAGCCACATGCTTGTTTAATTAGACAGAAGGGGGGAGATTTTGAGAGCCACAGTTTAGTCGGGGTTCCGGGAAAATTGGCACACGGAGCCCAGTGGAGGGAGTGTGTTACCAGGAGGAGCGTGTAGAGTGCCAGTGAGAGTTTGGGAATAAAGAGTTGCTGTTTGAACCTACAAGGCTTTGTGGCAGCTCCGTTATTTGTGCCCAGCCAGACTGCAGCACTTAATTCCATGGTGAGCTTGGTGAGGGTCTCTTTAAGGTACCCATTGGTCCTTTCAACCTTTTCAGAAGCCTGGGGGTGGTAAGGGCAATGCAAATGCCACGGGAGTGATAGCGCATGAGCCAGTCCCTGAGTTATCTGGGAGGTGAATTCTGGGCCATTGTCTGATTGGATAGAGTGGATTTATGTGAGTAAGCAACAGATCAACTACAGTAGAGGCCCGCTTGTTAGAAGTGGGAAAGGCTTCAACTCATCCACAAGTCTTGCTGGTATGGCTACAGTGATTAAAGTTGCTTTTCTTTCACTATTACTATTGTTTGTTTGGGGCAAACAGGCCAGACCTGTGTTTTGCGGACCCTAAATCCTCATTAGAGTCAGCTCTTTAGCCTAAGACTCTAGTAACACTAGCACAAAAAATAAATTAAAAATTACATACTTTCATATAGGAACATATAAAATGATGTGTCAGAAAACATTAAAGAGCATATAACATGGTGCGACGCTTCATCATGTACAGAGAAGTGCAATGTTGTGCTACAATTGTGTACAATGAATCAAAATGCATTCTGTGTCATATATATACCTAATTAAAATAAACAAATTTAATTTTTAAAAAAAGCATTTAAAAATTAAAGAAACTTAAACAATGGAGACACAAACATCTTGATGATAATTTAACACTGTAAAAATCCTGGAACAAGTCTATTGAATCAATGCAATTCCCATCAAAATCCCAAAATGTTTTTTTAAGGCATTTTTTTATGGAAGCTGATACTGAGAAAAGCCAATTGCCAGAGCGATTCTTAACAATATATCACTCCCCTACCACCATTTCCAGATCACACATATGCTTGACACACAAATATAGAAATTATTATAAAATAATACAAATAGACCAATGCAATAGAATGGAGAATCTCAAAAGAAATCCAATCCTATATTTAAACCTGAAATGACAACTCTGTCACTGCATTATCAGTGGAAGAAAGATAGAACATTCAATAAATAATACTGATATAATTACAGATCCCTACACCTTACTCTATTTACAAAAATGAATTCCAGGTAAAGTTAAATATGAAAAAAAACTAAAAACCTTCAGAAGGAAATACAGGAGAATACCATTCTAACATTGGAGCAGCGGGATAAAGACCACTGGTACAATTTGCTTGTACCAATAGAGTTGGAAGTTGTCCCCATCTAGTGTTTCTACTTAGAAGAAATTCTGGCACATGTATACAAGGACACCTATTAGAGTACAATTTAAACAGTGAAATGGCAGAAATAATCTAATATAAATCAGTAGGGAAATGGGCAATCTGGGCTTTAGTTGTGCTATAAGATTCAAATATGAACAAAACACAAACAGTATGTATCCAGATCTATAATAAAAACAGGAAAAAGCAAACTAGAGAAGTAAGCATTCTATAAACCATTTACTTAAAAACTATGAAAAGATTAAAATACTATCTATTATATATGAATACGTATTAAAGGAAAAAATATCTATAGGAAGAATATCTGTCTAGAAAAAACAGAAAGAAGAAAATGTGAATGTTCCTATAGAATTTTTATACCTTTAGGGAAAACATTTAAAACAAATATGGCAAAATGTTGACATGTATAAAAAGCAGCATAGGGGGCTGGGGTTGTGACTCAGCCACAGAATATTCATCTAGCATCTGTGAGGCACTGGGTTCAATCCTTAGCACTACATACAAATAAATAAAATAAAGGTATTGTGTTCAACTACAACTAAAAAGTAAATATTTTTTTAAAAAGCAGCATAGCATGGGAGAGGTAACTTGAGTATTATTTTCTGTTTAAAATATTTCATAATTTTAAAAGTTTTTTAAATTTTTGTAAAGAAATCAAACCACTGTAGTGAATGATTTTTAAGGGTAACTTATGATTCTCACAGCTCTGACTATAAATTGTACACACACTTGCTGTGGTCCATGTTTTCCCTCCCTGGGTAATAAAATCCTTAAGTTAATCTGGGGATTTTGACCTTTGCAATGATGAACACAACACCTGGCAATACCTATGAAATAAGTATTTGACAAACAACTAAATAAACCTCTTGATGCAAACTTCTGCATATAGTTAGTACTTAGTACTACTCAACTGCTAAAGGAACCAGATCTTCTAGCTTCTCTGATCTATTCTTTCATACTCAAATCATGGTTTTCATCTAACACTTTTGTCTAATTTCTCTCTCTTGTAGATTTTCTGGTACACTTTACTATTCCAAAGAACACTGGCTATACTTAGTTATAGTATAAATCTGCATTCTAGTTCCTTTATTAAAAATTCTTTCTATATATTTATGAAGCTTGTTCCTGAACTTATTCCTGAATATATTTCCTAAAAGACTCCAATCTTATTTGTTCTTAAATGAGTTATTCCTTTAATTCCTTCCCTTAAAGTTAATTTTACTTATTATGATGGTTTCTCTCTTTTTTTCTGTTTGGATACAAAATTTGAGATAAGTTTTATAAACTTTCATGTAACTTCAGCATCCAAAATTGTTTTATAGATGACTGAACAGATCTTAGAAAGGCAAGTGAGTAATTCTAAGAACTCAAACAACTAAATAAAATGCCCATTTGAAAAGGTGTCCTACACAAGAAAGTGTGATACACAGGTTAAAAAATGCTAATTTAGCAACTTAAGAAATATAATGTGTACAAGTAGAAAGATTCTCACATGAGTGGTCTGACGAGATGTTGTGTGGTACCAAAACAAAGTCATCGGTGTCACAAGAAGAGTTCTTGCTACTAGTACTGGCAGAATCTTTAGACACTTGTAGATAGTTRGGAGGACCCAATGGTGGGGAGGATAAGTTTTCTTCCTGAATATGCTGCATATCTGGAAGGGACTAAAATTAACAACATAAAATTAAAACTGGCCTAATAATCAAATGCAAGTCAGAACAGCCATTAGACTAAGGAATTTTTTTTTTCATGAAATGGGGCACAAAGTTGAATTCAACCTAAGATTTAAAAAAAAAAAAAACTCTCTGGAAAGTTTTTCTTTTAGAAAAGCACAGTTTAGAAGTATTGCCATAAAGACTTCTAAAATATTTTCCAAAAATGATACTTAAAAATACAACTTATCACATGTACCTATCTATCTGCCTCTTGTGAAGCCTTCCAGGTGAATTTTTAATCACTGAAATATCTCCTGCCCAAGCTTGTGGCCCAGCAAAGCAGATACTCAGTAACTATTCACTTAATAACACAAAATGTCCAGGTATTTTAAATTAATCATATCTTGCAAACAAAAACAAGTTCTAAATCTACCGTGAAGAAAACATTATAAACAGGAAGTGAAAGACTAACATATTATGTAAGATAAAATAGATAAGTCAATAAGGGTAACTATGTTAGACTAGAAATTCATTTACACTCACAGAAAAAAATATTGGAAAACTTTACAGGTGTGGGTGTGTTACTTTTGTTTGTATTTTGTTATGAGGTGAGGTAGTTTGTGGAAGACAGGTCAGGAAGAGAAGAAAATCTATTTAAGCAAATACTTAGGTATCACTAGCTATGTACTTTTCAGCAATTGCCTCAATCAAGTTCTCTCGTGATAGCTCTGAATGTCTTGAATATACAATGGTTTTCTAAAAAATTGAATTTGCACTACATCATGCTGTTAACATCAAGCTTTAAATGCCCAATTTACTCCTGCTGCTCCTCTGAATATCACCATGCAATGAAATCAGTCTCAAAGCACCTTATTACTTCCTTTTCTGTATGTGACATACGTAAAATCTTTTTGAAGACTTTATATCTGAAGGTAATACGAAAAGGCAAGAGGAGTTCAAAGCTTTCCACTTGTTATCTAACTGCAGCCTTATTCTGAACTCCCTTTTGCATCTAACTAAACAAAACCTCAGATGGTTAAGTAATTTTCCTGAGACCATATAACTAAAAGGCAGTCGAGTTGAGATGTGATTGCAAGTATCAAACTCCACAATTTCTTGACAGTGGGTTAAGGAAGAACTTTCTCAATTTCTTTCCCTGCTATTAATGAAAGTATCTACATCTACAAATGGTCTTCTCATTTCTCATCTTCACAGAAGAGTTGCTTCCCTTTTATTCAAAACTAATTTTTCCACCTGGTCTTGCTCCTCATTCCACCACCCATACTAACTCCCCAAGGACACAGATCAGCTYCTGACATTTTCACCCTCTCTGTTGATTCTGGCTTTTTGTACCTCTGCACATAAATATGTTTAATTTTCTCACATCTCAAATGCAAGTCCCCAAGGAGAGCTAGAGTTCCTTCAGTGGTTCACATTTCTATCACTTTTTATATGGGGGGTTCCTGTCTATTATACCATCTTTTTGCTAATTCATTCATTAAAAACTCAGCTCAAACAATACTCTCTTTAGACAAGCCCTCCTGAATCTTCAGTCTGATTATAATGCCCCTAATCCTTATTCCAACCTTTCCTTTTGTTGTTATTGTTTTGTGTGTGTGTGTGTGTGTGTGTGTGTGTGTGTGTGTGTGAGAGAGAGAGAGAGAGAGAGAGAGAGAGAGAGAGAGAGAGAGAGAGAAAGGGAGAGAGAAAGATAGATAAATAGATACTGGGAATTGAACCTGGGACCACACTTACCACTTACGCTAGGCAAGTACTCTATCATATGCTACAGCCCCAGCCCTCTGTTTTTCTTAACAATATTTCTTGAAGTTATTTTTACTGACTCAAATTCCTTAACGCTTATATATCCCTTAATCTACCATAATCCATTTTTTGTCTTCAACTCTCCAATAAAACTGTCTTTATTAAGCTTACAAATACTGTCAATACTTCACCACAAAAGTACTTAACGTTCTTCCCCCTCACCCCACGGCCCCGCTCTTATTATTTTTCCTCCTACTTCATGGAGACCCCTCCTTTATCTCTATTTATTTATTTATTTATTTATTTATTTTTACTTGGTGCTGAGGATCAAACCCAGAGCCTCATCCGTGCGAGGCAAGAGCTCTACCACTGAGCTACAGCCACAGCCCTCTTTGTCTTTTTTGTGAGTACATTTTCTCATTTGTCTCTTGAAAACCAGAAGAAAAATACAGAACTTCTCAGGGCTCTCCCACCCTTCAGTCCTTACTTTGTATCTTTATCCTATTGACTAGTCTCTCCCCAACTTCATCTATCAAGTACTTCACATGGTGCTGGTATGACTATTTTAAATTCTAACAAATTTAAATGCAAGTCCCCAAGGAGAGCTAGAGTTCCTTCAGTGGTTCACATTTCTATCACTTCTTATATGGGGGGTTCCTGTCTATTATACCATCTTTTTGCTAACTCATTCATTAAAAGCTCAGCTCAAACAATACTCTCTTTAGATAAGCCCTCCTGAATCCTCAGTCTGATTATGATGCCCCTAATCCTTATTCCCACAGGCAATTGAGGTTTATATACCTCAATTGCCTGTGGGAATAAGGAATTGGGAATTGGACCCAGGGTCTCATGCATGCTAGGCAAGTGCTCTGCCACTGAGCAATGTCCCTAGTTTTTTTTTTTATTTATCTATTTTATCTATCTATCTATCTATCTATTTATTCATTGGTGGTACTGGAGACTGAACCCAGAGGCACTCTACCACTGAGCTACATCCCCTTTTATTTTTTGAGACAGGGTCTCACTAAGTTGCTCAGGCTGGCCTCCAATCTATAGTCCTCCTGCCTCAGCTTCTCAAATAGCTAGGATTACAGGCATGTACCACTATGCCCAGCCCCTTGCTCTGTATGTATATACTATGTATGTATATAAATGCACTTATACATATAATTTTTATATGTATAATTTACACATACACATGACTAACTTACCTATCTACTGTCACCCAATTAAATTTTTTAAAAAACCCTTAATGGTGGTGGTTATATGTGAAAAGGGCCTACCCCATAGTAATTTTAAGTTTTATTATAAAGTATATATTTGACACAATGTGATACATAATATGGAAAGCAAATTAATTAATGAATTAAATAAACAAACAAAAAAAAAAAAAAAAAAAAAACCTGCAAGCAAAGGTTAACCAGACCTAGTTCCACAGGAGAACATCCAGACTCAGTTCTCTAAGTGGCCAGCTCAAAGTTACCAGTGAGAAAGTAGTGGGGCCAGGATGAGGCCAGTCTACCAGGCTCCAGATAAAGTTTTGTATGTCAATACACTTCCTCTACCTTTCTCCCTGACAAGCTCCAAATCCAGAGTAGCTTTTTTTGTTTTTCTTGGGTTCTTCAAATATTCCAGACTGACATAGGAAATATACAAAGTTCTTTCTCCTCTCTTAATTTTTCACCTTCACAGGAATATAAAGTAAGTCTTACTAATACATCCACTTTTGGTTTGGATTTACAGGGTTCTACAAGAAAGGTTTTTGCCAGTTTCAAGATTTGTCTGTTAGCAATAAGTTACTTTCCCATCTGCTTTAACTAGGAACTACTAGATTTCACTGAAAAATAATAACAGCTGTCATCACTGCTTGAGTACTTACTGTGTACTATACACTGTAGTAAGGGCTTAAGCCTGTTTATCCTTAAAGAATCCTATTAAGGAAATAAATCATACTTGTTTCGCATACGAGGAGGGCTCAGAGAAATTAAGGTCCTTGTCCTAGTTACTATGCCAAGTAGGAACTCCCAAACTCCATGCTCTTAAACCTGAGTTGTCTCAACTGTCTAACCACAAAATTACTTCCTTTTATGGCTTCTCCACCATTCTGCCAACAGAATTCAAGAAATTCATGTCTGTCAGGCTAACCTGAAAAATATTCACAATAGCTGACACAGAGCCTTGGACCTTCAGCTGTGTAAAAGCCTCAAGGTCACAGGCTGCAACACAGATTTGGGGGAAGGGTCAATTAAAAAAAAAAAAAAAAGAACATAAGAGAGCTAAGTAAAACCCTAGGAGAGGCTAGAGTTGTAGTTCAGTAGTAGAGCATTTGCCTAGCACATGTGAGGCACTGGTTTGATCCTCAGCAACACAGAAAAATAAATAAATAAAATAAAGGTGTTATGTCCAGTTACAACTAAAAATATTTTTAAAAAATAAAATAACACCCTAGGAGAGTACAGTAAGAAGTGGTGACAGCATACAGCATACTACAGGGACATAGCCACAACAATGTTTATAGAAGCACAATTCACAATAGCTAAACTGTGGAGTCAACCCAGATGCCCTTCAGTGAATGAATGGATAAAAAAAATGTGGCATAAATACACAATGGAATATTACTCAGCAATAAAAAAGAATAAAATCATGGCATTTGCAAGTAAATGGATGGTGTTGGAGAAGATAATGCTAAGTGAAGTTAGCCAATCCCAAAAAAATAATGTTTTTTCTGATATAAGGAGGCTGACTCATAGTGAGGCAGAGAGGGGGTTGCATGGGAGGAATAGATGAATTCTAGATAGGGCAGAAGGGAGGGAGGGAAAGGGATTGGGCAGGGGATTAGCAAGGATGGTGGAATGTGATGACATCATTATCCAAAGTACATGTATGAAGACACGAATTGTTGTCAACACACTTTATATACAACCAGAGATATGAAAAATTGTGCTGTATATGTGTAATAAGAGTTGTAATGCATTCCGCTGTCATTTTTTTTTAAATCAATAAAAATAAATAAATAAGAAGTGGTGACCAGAGTGATCAGAAGTCCTGAGGATCAGGAGAAAGTACTTAAACTGGAGGGAACAGAGTCATGGAAGAAATGGCTTGGGAACTTCAGAAGAAGAAAAGAGGTTTGAGAAGAAACTTTAAGGGGTCAGTAATCACAATCAAACCAATAAAAATATGACTCCAAAGTCACTACTCCACACTAGAAATCCTATATAATCCCAACATTTATAGTATGCAGGCAAAACAAATATTTATTGCTTATTCACCTGTAATGGGTAGTCTTTGTTTGCAAGTATCATCACCAAAATCCTATAGAGTATAAAAAGGTGGTAGTACTGTGCTCAGTGTTCAGAGGAAATGGCCCAGAGAGGTAATATTTTTTGCTGAAGCTACACAGTGAAGAAAGGAAAGAGGTTCAAAAATAGGTCCACTTGATCCAACTCTAACACTTTCTCTTAAACTTCAGCTTAATTAGTAAACACTAATAAAAAAAAAAAAAAGAGCCTCCAGAGCAAGCTCCATTTGTGAATAAATGCAACAGCACTAATTCTGGAATTATTTCTAATAAAATGGGAACTTACTGGTGGAGAAGCAAAGCGACAAGAYGGAGAGCTGCCACAGGAGTTTCCAGGGACAGAACCAGCATACACAGGCACTGGGACTGGGCAAGCTGGGGAATAAACACAGCCAAAGAGCTATATCATACTATAGTACATTACAAGCCCTGCCTAATAGAATAAGCTGTCAAAATTACTACATTTTGTGTTAATCAAAAATTTGCATTCAACTACTTACTTAATTAGTAAGCTGCCATGGAGGCAACTAAAAATTACTAGATCTTTTTCAACTTGGATATGGATAGAAAAACAACTGCTATTTTGGAATATAAAATACTAATTTTTTYATTAGCTTACATTCACTCTTTAAGTAAAAAATGAAAAAACAAAGAGTACTCACATTTTTTTACTGGAACCTGCTCTAGAAAAGGATGGCTAAAAAATGCTTCTGCAAGGAAAAATGAGAATATAATCTTTAAACAGACATTAATCAATGATAGCACAAAGGAGACAGGCAAGAAGGAATTATGCTAGAGCCACAAAGTGATACTAAACAGTAATCTGAATCCACAAGAAGAAATGAAGAATACCAAGAATGATAGATATACAGATTTTTCACTATTTTTTTCTTTCTTCCCTTAACTTCTGAAAAAGACATAAAACTATATAAAGCAATAGCTATAATACCACACTGTTGAGATTATAACATAGATGTGACATATGCGAAAATTACAGAATAAAGGGAGGAAGGAATGGAGCAATATCAGAAAAACAAAGTTTTAATATTTACTGGGATTCAGCTAGTATTTATATGAAATAGACTATGCTAACTTACAATGCATACTGTAATCGCTAAAGCAACCATGACTCAACAGCATTCAAAAAAAGAATCAATAAAGGAACTTAAACGCTATACTAGAAATCAATGTTTAAAATATATCACCCCATCAGCTGACAACTCTCAAAAATAAACCCCTAATCTTTCCTCCGTAATTCAAGTGGCTTCTGACAGCTGCACTTAGATATCTAATGATTATCTTAAATGTGACATAACCAGCTGGAACCCCTCTTCTGGTCCCCATAGTCTTGCCCTATCCATAATCTTCCCTAACTCTGTAACTAACAACTCCACCCTTACAGCTGCTCTGGCCAAAATCCTCAGAGTTGTTGCTGAATATTTTCTTTGTTTCACACCCCACATTCAAACCATCAGTAAACACTGTTGCCTCTGCCCTCAGAAAAACTCAGAACCCAGCTTCTTCTCACAACCTTCACTGCTATTATACCAGCCTAAGCTCCATTTTGTCTCACTTGGGTAACCAAGAATGTCCTGAAGAGTCTCCCAGCCTCTGACCTTCTCCTCATACACAGTCCATGCTCAAGAAGCAGCCAGATTTATCCTTTTAAAAACATTAGTCAGATCAATTTCCCTCAACTCAAAACCTTCCAATGGCTCCGTCGTCTTTAGCCGCTTTCTAGTTGTTCCTCAAGCTTCCATGCATGCTCTCTACTCTGAAACTTTGAACGGGTTATTCACTCTGCTGAACAGCTCTTCCCATACCTATCCTCATAGCTCACACTCATTTCAGGTTGATCAAATCATTTTAATGCCACTTTCTCAGTAAAGACCTTACTTCTGACCTTAAAATTTCAATCCTCTATCCCTATTATTCTCATAGTACCTTGTACCTTCTAATATAGTATGCAATTATAGTTTATAATTTGTTTGTCTCCCCCCCCCAATAGAATATATTCTAATGAGGACAGGAATTTTCTTTAATTTGTTTATCTCAGTACCTAGATTATAATAAGGACTCAAAAAATATCTACAAAATTAGTGAAAGAAAATAAAGAGGGGCAGAATAATAAAATGATAAAAAAAGAAAATTTAAATTAACTGTAATTTGCAGAATACAACAGACACTAGTATGGCCGTATGTAAAAACGTAGATGTGTAACCGATGTGATTCTGCAATTTGTATACGGGGTAAAAATGGGAGTTCATAACCCACTTGAATCAAATGTATGAAACATGATATGTCAAGAGCTTTGTAATGTTTTGAACAACTAATAAAAAAAAGAGAAAATAAATAAATTAACTGTAATTTTCTTCTGACATCTTTATAGTATCAACTTTCAATCTCTTCAAAGTACATAAAAGTAAAATTAGAAAGCACACAAAATTTGAAACTATTACTTACCAAAATCCATTCTGTCTTTTTGGTTTCTCTGAAGCAAACCCAAAAGGAGACTAGCCAAATAAGGTGATGTTTCTCTAGGAATACTGGGGAAAAGGAAAAAAACAACCTAAGTGGTAAGTTTATTTATATTAAATACATTATTTTTGCCTTCATTATGGCAAATATGGAAAATGTATATGCAGTTTCACAAATACAAAAAGACCACAGCAAAGCATAATATTTTGGTGGGAGAGGGTAGAGCATTACAATAGCCCTTGAAAAACAACATCAATTGTGACTATTATTGTTATTGGTTTAGAGAATTTACAATTTACAAGAATAAAGCACTCCAGAAGCACAACACAAACATCTCTGAGTTTTTAAAACAACTTGCACAAATAGTTACTATGAAGCTCTCTATTAGAAAAAGAGCCACATCCAGTTTTGTCTAGAAAGGGGCAGAGCTTAAATAAGTTCAAATAAGAATATAATATCTTTGGGGCTGGGGTTGGGGCTCAGCGATAGAGTGCTCGCCTAGCACATGCGAGGCCCTGGGTTCGATCCTCAGCACCACATAAAAATAAATAAATAAAGATATTGTGCCCAATTAAAAAATATTTTTTTAAAAAAAGAATATAATTCTTTAATATGAAAATGGCAAAGCAATGGAAAAATGAGTAACAGTAATATAGCAATAATGAAATAAAAACCACAAAAGAATATTAAGGCAAATAAAAAAAAAAAAGATAGCTAGCTTTGCTGGGGGTATAATTCAGAGGTAGAGCACCTGCCTAGCTTGCAAGGGGCTCTGGGTTCAATACCCAACATCAAAAGGAAAAGAAAAACAGCCAATTTCACTAATGAAGAGAATRATGCAAATTAAATTAATATCTACTTGGTCCTACTCCATTTATGAGGCATCAAGTTTGGAAATTCAACATTACATGTTGGTTAAAATGTGAGGAAAGGGGCTGGGGCTGGGGCTCAGTGGCAGTGGGCTTGCCTAGCATGTGTGAGGCACTGGGTTTGATCCTTAGCACCACATAAAAAAATAAACAAAATAAAGGCATGATATCCAGCTACAACTACAAAAAAATTTTTTTTAATAATTTTTAAAAATGTGTGGAAAAAAGCTTACATGGCTATTTCATCTGGGACAGCCTATTTGGAAAGCATACCTTTCAGTCCAATAATTCTATTTCTAGGAATCCATCCTAAAGAAATGCACAATGATACTGTGTACATACAAGTGCATATCCCCCCCACACACACACACACATTCACTAAAGCGTGCTTGTAGCAACCAAAAAATGAAAACAACAAGGACCTGATTAAATAAAATATGGAACACCTAACTATAGGACTCTAGATTGCCATTCAAAAGGATGCAGTATCTCTCTATATACTATCATTGAATGTATATACTAATGTATACAGTAAGAAATACTAAAGTTTCAGAACAATTCATAAAATACAGTGTAACTTGTCTTGAACTATATGTGTATGTGTGAACATACTCATAAATGAGCAAACATGTATAAAAAAACTCCCACATAAAAGATTCAGAAAGACTCAGAGCAAACTCTTGTTAATCCTACAGAACAGGGCAAAGCATAGACAGGAATTTACTTTCTACTTTATGCACATTTATTCTGTCTGCCTCCCCACAAAGAACACATTTAAAACTTCTGTAATTTTTTTATCTTAAATTTACTTTATATTTAAAAAACAAAAAATAAAATGGTCCAGCACTATACAAGTACCTCCATTGTGTTAGCAATTTTCTAATTTCCTGCCATAACATCACTGTCAGTTGAAAAAACACTCACAGAAATACATAAAACACCTAAGGTTCAAATAAATAACACAATGCTCACAAAGAGTAAAATTCTACATAAAACACCCAGGGTTCAAATAAATAACACAATGCTCACAAAGAGTAAAACTCAGTGTAATCTAAATACATACCTAGGCATTAAGCTCCTGTTTTTTTCATAAAACATCCTTAGGTCTTGAGGACTATTGGCCTGTTAAAAGAAAGAAGGGTGGGGAGCTTAGTTTCCTGACAAAAGTGGTGATGTGGGAGGGGATTGTAGAACTTCCAAATCATATGATCAATATTTGTATTCTTGAGAACTAGAATTTTAACTTAAAAGCCTTGAATTGCTGAAGGATTAGTCATTAAGGAACTGTGCAAATTCTACACATGGATATACTGTACCTTTTCTAAAGACAAACTATTAAAGTTAAGAATTGTTATTCTAGGGCTGGGAATGAAACTCTGGAATTACATCTGCCTAGCTTGTGCAGTGTCCTAGGTTAGATTCCCAGCACTCCAAAACAAACAAGCAAACAAAAAAATCTACTATTCTGGAGGTTACATGGTCTAATCAAAAGGTAAATTATTATTGTGTAAAATAGAAGTGTATTTAACTTAGGACCTTCAAAGAATTCAAGGAAAGGAACTACGTATATTGGCACTATCCAATCTCTCCATAGGAATAAATAGTATCCTTATAGCAAGAGCTGCAGAATTAGTGAAACTGACTCTATATACAAAATAGATTGGAAAATTAGAAATTATTAACCTGGTTTCACTGATTTTGTTTAAAACATTTTGGGCAAATAATTTCACTTTGTTCCAAGTTTTCAGATTTAAAAAATCTTTGTAACTAAGAAATCATAACATCACAATATGAACCCAACAGAATTCATCATAATTATTATCTGTAAGGCCACTTCTTTACATGGTAGGGAAAAAGAAGAAAAACCCAAAGTAATTTACATAAAAACCTCAACAATTAACTCCCTCTCACCCAGCATTGTCAGAGTTGGAGATATGATTTCCAAGGATCTCCCAGATCAGCTCCAATCCTCACATGGATTCTAGGACCCCAAAACCAGACTAAACAGAAAGTGCTTTTGTCAATATTCACACCCACCTCCCACCACCGCTAGACTCCAGCCAGTTTTCTCTACCCTGCAACACATCCTCCAGCTTTCATGCCCAGTCTAATTACAAAAGGCAGGCAGATAAATGAAAAGCAAAAGATGTTCTAGCTCACCATAGCAGTTTCTTCCTGGAACAAAATCAAAGTAAGTCACAAAGGATCCAAAAACACTACTTTCAAGGTATTCATTTTATAAGTCAAAGGCAACTACAAAATGAGAAGATTCCAAAACTGAGGACATAAAGAAAAAAATCAGGCTACCTGAAAAGGTGGTTTTCCAACTAGGCATTGATATATCACTGTTCCTATGCTCCACAAGTCTGCCTTAGCATCATAATGTTGAGACATAATAACTTCAGGAGCCTGAATATAGAAAATTGAAGAAACATGAATGAATGTTAAATACATAATTAACTGCATGTATTAGTTGATTGGCTATGGTCACACTCGTAACTACTTAAAAAACTAACACACTGTGGTATTTCTCTAATCAAATGACACTGCAATGAATTTAGATCGACATAATTATGAGGTCTTGAGATTTGCTAGTAAATCTCAAAAACAATGCTACATGAAAAGGAGAAACAAATATTTCTACATATTATGATGGACACAAAATACAGTAAAAGTATTAAAATAAGAAGGAAAAATACACACCAATTATAGTACAGAACAAAGATTCCCTCAAAGTTATGAGAGGTGGAGTGTAGGTAATGAGATTAGGGAGAAGGTAATTGGGTTGTCTGAAATATTTTAATTTCTAAACAAAGCTCAAGCCAAACATGGCAAAATATTAACTTCATTAAATATGGATGGTAGGTTCACAGGCATATGCTTCATTTTTCCCTACATTTTTTCTGCATTTTGAAAGCTTTTCTAATTACAGAAAAACTATGATGTAAAACACAATAATAAAATGTATCTTAACGGGCTGGGGTTGTGGCTCATCGGTAAAGTATTCACCTTGCATGTGCGAGGGCCTGGGTTCGATCCTCAGCACCACATAAAAATAAATAAATAAAAATAAAGGTATTATGTCCAACTATAACTAAAAAATAAATATTTAAAAAAATAAAATGAATCTTAAAAGCAAAGGCTTTTCTCTACTACTTGTTACAGGTATTTTTCCCACTTCTCATAAAGAGATAGGGGTATACCACACTAGCCCAATTAGAAGAATATAAACCTATCTTATATATAGAACAGGAACAGACATTTATTTATGTCACATAATTCTGAAGTTCCAGAATTAAGCTATTTCTAAACTTAATATTTCACATTAGGTCTATACATATAGCTCAGCAATAGAACACTTGCCTAGCATATACATACGGGGCCCTAAGTTAAATTCCCAGTACCAAAAGAAAAAAAAATGTTTTTCCCATTAGTTTAGAAGTTTCATAGCCTACAACTAACAGATATAATAATAGGTACATGAAAGAATAAAGAGAAAAGATAAGATTTTCATCATTAAGTGTGGGGATGTCTACAGTTCAGGGATCTTGTCAAGACAGAAAACATGGAGAAAATGGTATTAGCAGAAGAGGTATTTTTAAATATTCCTAAGAACTATGTCAACTATTGCATCTTTATACTTAATGAATTTTTTTTTTTTAAAGAGAGAGTGAGAGAGAGAGGGAGAGAGAGAGAGAACTTTTAATATTTATTTTTTAGTTCTCGGCGGACACAACATCCTTGTTGGTACGTGGTGCTGAGGATCGAACCCGGGCCGTACGCATGCCAGGCGAGCACGCTACCACTTGAGCCACATCCCCAGCCCCTTAATGAATTTTTATTTTCAACTTAATAGGGTTTCTCTCTTATTATTATAAAAATTATTTAAAAATAAAGGCAAATGGACAAAAATGACTTAATTTCATAGCCCACTATGCTAAAGCAAAAGATAACTGCAGTATTGGTACTATAATTAACATCAATAATAGAAATAACAATGTTCAACCATATATAAAAATTAATATTACTCAGAAACAAGCATTATATGTAAATTTCAATGCTTATGGTGCATAAACTTACTTACCATGTACATTGGGGATCCACACAGCGTTGCAGCCATCATATTACTGTGTAGGTAACGAGCAAAACCAAAATCCGCTATTTCACAAAATAAAAAGTAGAAAAACAAATGATACTTTTGGCTCACTCTTAACAAATATCATATGATTCTTTAAGACACGGGAATTGTGAAAAACAAAGAACTTACTGAATAAGTCTGCCASTGAAGGAAAAGTAGTAGCTATCTCAATTTCAACAAACTAGTTGTTATAATCAACTGTACAATTCACTACTCAACAAGTTGTGTAACCAAGGAATACCAATCTTCCCAAGTAAAAATGCTAATACAATAAATGATTTATTAATATAGCTCTCATTAAATATCAATACCAGATACAAAATTTGAACTGTTCTTTTACTGACGGCTTCAAGTAATTTTTATACCAGAGCACCAAAAACCTGACAAAAGAAGCTGAACTAAAATTATCTAAAAATACTGAGTCTCAGAAACATCCTTTCCATAAAGCAAAACATAGCTGTTTACCTATTTTGATGCGAATACCACTGACACTTGACTTTCTGCGATTGGCGTAAGACAACAAAATGTTCTGCGGTTTGAGATCCCTGTGGATTATTCCTTTGCTGTGCAGRATTCGCATGGCAGCTGCAATCTGATGTAGAAACACTCTGATAGTATCTTCACTGAGAGTTCCTTTAGCTGGTAGAAAAGGAGTCACATMAATATTTAAGCACACAAATCAAATACCATCTGTATATTCCATCAAGAGAATTGAGTTGTGAAGGAGGGCATGAAAGGAATAAAGAACTAGGATTCCTTTTTTACTTTAATAATTAAGTCTACCATGAAGGGATATAAGATTTCTCCAACATGGTAACCAAACTGATGTAAAGAGAGTTGATTTGCATTTGCATTTTTGTTTTCACTACGGTTTTTTGTTTTTTCTTTTGCTTTTTCCTTCTTGTATTTACTTGCAGAAGGTATACAAACAGTTCTGAACACAAGAGGTGCTCAACAAATGCAAATCTCCTTTATAAACCTTCATGTTAGTCAAACACCTGGAATAATCGTTCTTATTTAGACTCAATCATCACATAAGCATGAATTAAAAACAGGGGAAATCTTTGTGTGGCATCTACCACCTCTTGTACCTGACAGGGATCTGAGCTCCTCATCTTTTTCCTCATATCTTCTCTGTTGCCCCAACACCCCTGACCCTCATAGGATCTTTCATAACTAAAGATACCTTTAACAAGGGGGCTGGGGCTGGGGCTCAGCGGTAGAGTGCTCGCCTAGCACGTGAGAGGCGCTGGGTTGGATCCTCAGCACCACATAAAAATAAATAAATAAAATAAAGATATTGTGTCCCACTACAGCTAAAAAAAAATTTTTTTAAAAAAGATACCTTTACAAGCAGATATTTTCAACAATGAGAAAGTGTGCACATTATTAGAAGTATTCATTAATCATTAACTCAGCAGCATTTAGGGTAGGTAATGGCTAATCACCTCTGTCCGGTAAGGCTGCCTTTGTTTAAATCCCAGCTCCACCCTCCCTGTGTGTCCTGGAAGATGATCAATTCTCTGCCTTTTCCACACAAAGCTGATAAGAGGCTGATCACATGAGATTGTTGTGAGGATTAAATAAGATAACACCCTTAGTAATGAAGACTTCAGAAGGCCTAACTCATAATACACACTCAAATGTAGTAAGTATGCAAAGAGAAACTTTTTATTGTAATGGACCTAAACATCACAAGTTCAATTACTTGACTCCACTTTAAATATCCTTAAACCTGTTTAAAACGTTTGTGAACACATTTCTGCCTATACAATTTGCAGAATATGTTCTACATAACTGTTCCACATATAATTTTAAAAGGTAAAAGTTAAAACCTGAAATAAGTGTAATATTAAGGTTTAAAAATCGTTTTTAAACGACATGTCAAGTGACAAATGGTTTTAAAAAWCACTATAAGGTAACAGTAAGTGTTGGCAAGAAAGTGGGGGGAAAAGGCACACTCTTAAATTGCTGGTGGGACTGTAAATTGGTGCAACCAATCTGGAAAGCAGTATGGAGATTCCTTAGAAAACTTGGAATGGAACCATCATTTGACCCTGCTATCCCACTCCTCGTTTATACCCAAAGGACTTAAAAACAGCATAATACAGTGATACAGCCACATCAATGTTTATAGCAGCACAATTCACAATAGCTAAATTGTGGAACCAACCTTATGCCCTTCAATAGATGAATGAATAAAGAAACTGTGGTATGAATACACAAAGGAATATTATTCAGTCTTAAAAAGATAATAAAATCATGGAATTTGCAAGTAAATGGATGGAGCTGGAGAATATCATGCTAAGTGAGGTAAGCAAATCACAAAAAACCGAAGGCCGAATGTTTTCTCTGATAAGTAGATGCTGCTTTGTAATAGGGGTTGGGGGAAGCATGGGAGGAATGGAGGAACTTTGTATAGAGCAAAGAGAAGGGAAGGGAGGGTTTGTGGGTAGGAAAGGTGGTGCAATGAGATGGACATATTTTCCCTAGGTACATGTATAAAGACATGAATGGAGTGACTATACTTTGTGTACAACCAGAGAAATGAAAAACTGTGCTCCATATGTGTACTATGAATTGAAATGCATTCTGTTGTCATGTAAAATTAGATCAAATAAATAAATTTTAAAAAAACAAATTGGGGGGCTGGGGTTGTGGCTCAGAGACAGAGCGCTTGCCTACCATGCGTGAGGCACTGGGTTCAATCCTCAGCACCACATAAAAATAAGATATTGTGTCCACCTATATCTAAAAAATAAATATTAAAAAAATGGGGGCCAGGGTTGTGGCTCAGCGGTAGAGAGCTTGCTGATCATGCATAAGGTACTGGGTTTGATCCTGGCACCACATAAAAAAATAAACAAAATAAAGGCATTGTGCCCATCTACAACTAAAAAGTATTTTTAAAATGGCATTAATAAAAACAGATAAAACCAAAAAAACTCACTTTAAGGGCTAGGGATATAGCTCAGTTCGGAGAGCGCTTGCCTTGCATGCACAAGGCCCTGGATTCAATCCCCAGCATCACAAGAAAAAAAAAATCACTTTAATATCAGCAGGCATGGTTGCACACACCTATAATCTCAGCAACTAAGGAGGCTGAAGCAGAAGGATCACAAGTTCAAGGCCAGCTTCAGCAATTTAGTGAGACCTTACCTCAAAGTAAAATATCAAAAAAGATTGGGGATGTAGCTCAATGGTAAAGTACCCCTGGCTCAATCCTCAGTACCAAAAATAAAATAAAACCACTTTAATGACAACTGACATTTATGTTCTTAATATCTTCAGATAAAACAAATCAACATGGTATAAATTTTATCAAATATTTTTCCTGTGAGGACTGTTCTTAACTTGTCCTCCGTCTTTTTATTCTCTGGGGCTCTTGTCCTGATGTTCAATATTAAAAAAACAACAAACAAAAATATATAAAAATGAAATCTATACTATTCTTGAAAAAGAACAGAGTTAAGAATTTGAGGCAAGCACAGGAGCTCATGTCTATAAACTAGGAACTCAGGAGGCTAACAGGAGGATGCAAGTTCTGGGCCAGGCTCAGCAATTTAGCAAGGCCGTATGCAACTTAGTAAGACCCTGTTTCAAAATAAAAAATAAAAAAGGTTTGGTGTCAACATACCTTATATATAATCAGAGATATGATAAATTATTGTATAATGGTGTATTAAGAATTGTAATGATAATAAATAAAAAATCATTTTAAAAAAGAATCTAAGCAGATAGAGGCTACAGGTGCTATTGTTAATGCTTGAGAGGTAATTTTTTCTTTCATTATAGTTTTTAAGGTTATATTTAAAAAAAAAAAAAAACAATAGAATTTGGCCATTAGCAGGAGAAGAGAACAAGATGAGGAGAAAAAAAAAAAGACAGTGAAAATGTTACTGGAGATTACAAAAGAGTGTAGAGAGTGTACAGGGGAGGGGCAAAGTAAAACAAGTGGAGGATCATGGAACTTTAAGCCAATCAAATACCCAGTTTAGGTATTAGGCAATAGTATAGGCTTATAAATGAAGACTTTCTTTTGAGTCATATTTCTAATAATCAAATATCTGTTTACTGATTTTATTTATTAAAAAAAATAAAAATTAAAAATAAAAAAGGGCTAGGGATGTGGCTCAGTGGTTAAGCGCCCATGGGTTCAACTCCCATTCCCAGTACCCCCAAAAAATGAATAATTTAGAGTACAGAGCTGGGGTGAAACTTAGCAGAGCACCTGCTTAGTATGTGTGAGGCCCTGGGTTCATCCTCAGCACTGCAAAAAAAAAAAAAAAAAATACAAAAAAAGAAAAAAAAATTTAGAACACATTCTTTCAGATCTACTTTCTTGTAAATGTCAACATACACATTACTTCATATTAGCTAGTGGGGCAAATCAATGATGTTTTAYTTAAAATTACATTCCAACAAAATGGATATCACATCTTTTTCATTTTACTCATTTATAATTTCAGTTTGGGGCTTAGAATAATTTAGCTACTTTAAAATTACTGCAGGTGCTTAAAACTTATATCTATGTCCTGTGAAATAACATTGAACACACCTGAAATATATCTGATTCAGAGTCCAAATTCTAACACTTATCCCATGAGGAATAAAAACTACTACCAACTCGGGGCTGGGGTTATGGCTCAGCAGTAGAGTGCTCGCCTCGCAAGTGCAAGGCCTTGGGTTCGATCCTTAGCACTACATAAAAATTAATTAATTACAACTACAAAAAAAAATAAATACTTAAAAAAAACAATGACTAACTTTAAGCTGTTTCAAACACAATTCTGGAAACTGAAATTCTCACTTCAAAAACAGCAAAGGCAGTGACAACGTCAAAACTATTTTGAATGAATTCTTGAGGAAATTAACATCAAAAGAGTAGGCTCAGCTATAGATGCCACACTTAGAATACTATAACTAATGTTAAAACACAGTTTACTAATTAATTTAGAAATTTTTTAAGCTTCCAATTGACAGAATTTATTTTCTATCTTTTGAAATTGTGAATTTTTATTTATCAGAGCAAATAAAAGGTTTGAATGATCATGTTATCATACAATGGCAATCCACCTTCCAGACATTCCAGACCTTGCAAACCAGAGCTCTGTGATAGAAATGCCATGTGAACCATACATGTAACTTTAAATCTTCTAGTAGTTATATTTTTAAAAGTGGAAAGAAGCCAGGAGAGGTGGTACACACCTGTAATCCCAGCAACTGGGGAGGCTGGAGCAAGAGGATCACTAGCTCAAAGCCAGCCTCAGCAACTTAGTGTGACCCTGTCTCAAAATAAAAAAACAAGAGCTAGGGTTGTGGCTCGGTGGTAGAGTGCTCGCCCAGCACCTGTGAGGCACTGGGTTCGATCCTCAGCACCACATAAAAATAAATGAAATAAAAGTATTGTGTCCAACTACAACTAAAATATATATATATATTAAAAAAATAAAAGTATTGTGTCCAACTACAACTAAAAATAAATATTACCAAAAAAAATAAAATAAAGGTATTGTGTCSATCTACAACTAAAAAGTATTTTTTAAAAATAAAAAGGGGAGGACTGGGGATATAGCTCAGTTGTCATAGTGCTTGCCTCACATGCACAAGACTATGGGTTCAATTCCCAGCACAACCAAAAAAATAAATAAATAAAATAAATAGAAAGGGGGTGCCAGGGTGTGGCTCAATGGTACAGCACTTACTAGCCTAGCATACATGAGACACTGGGTTTGATCCCTGGTACCACATAAAAATGAAAACAAATAAAAGAATTAAAATAGTAATAAATAAATGAATACAAAGGGCTAGAGATGTGGCTCGATGGTTAAGTGGCCCTGGGTTTAATCCCTGGTAGCAAAAAAAGGAAAGAAAGATGAAATTAACATATTTAACCCAATACATCCAAAATTTTATCATTTTAACTTGGAATGATATCCAAAAATTAATGAGATTTAATCGTTCTTTTGTTCTATTTAAGTGCTAAAAACTCAGTATGCATTTTACACTTATAGCACAAATGAATTTAGCCACAGTTCAAGACCCCATGTGGTCAGTGGCTACTGTGTCAGACAATGCAACTGCAGGCAATTCCTTAAAGACCATAACATTTTTTAAGTCTTTAGAAGTATTTTTAAGCTATAGGAGATCCCCTTATGGACTATGATAGTGAAGTTCTGGAAAGAGGTTAAAAAAACAAAAATTATACAGCAATTAAGTGATATAAATATTAGAACTAGAACTATGATTGCCTGGTTAATTCCAACATTCAAACTCCACTATTTGGTCCCCTGATTTAACAATACTACTCTAGAAATATCAAACACAAGAGTTCAACATCAAGTACATAACTGTCAAAATTAATTTAAATCTGCTTCACTGGATAACATGCTTGTATTGTTTATGAAGCAAACTCTAAGCTGATTAAGTACTGTAAGCTGATATAAGTACCACTTGGTCTGACCCTAGCACAAAGATGTCTGTACCAGGAACCCTTAGGATGTCAAGGAACACAAGATTCAGAAACAGACAGCAAGACAGAGCAAGGTGCTTCCTAGCTTCAACTTCTTTCACTGACAGTGAATCAAAGTACTCATCTTACTGCATTCTATCTATTCAAAAAAGACATTTTGAAAACATCATTTTATAAATTGACAGATTTTTTTAATCTATCAAATTCAGGACAATAGTTACCTATAGATGAAAGATGGGAATGGAACTGCAGGAGGACTTACAAGAAGTTTCAACTATATTTATAATTCTTTTTTAATTTGGAGTATATACCAGTGTACTTTGTTATTCTTTACACAGATTGTGAATGTGGGCAATATTCTATATTTTAAAGAGTTTTAAAGAGTTGTTTTTTTGTTTTGTTTTGCTTGTTTGTTTGTTTGAGTCATTGTTAATTGCACTCCCTGGCTGTTAGGTAAAATAAAATCAAACATTTTTTTAATATATTTTTTTTAGTTGTAGAAAAACACAATATCTTTATTTTTATTTATTTATTTTTATGTGGTGCTGGAGATCGTACTCAGAGTCTCATGCGTGCAAGGCAAGCGCTCTACCCCAGCCCAAATCAAATATTTTAAATAAATTGTTTCTCTTTTATAAATTGTCCATTTTGTGTGTGTATTCACTGGCCTTAATGCTTTTACCACCAATTGCTACAATCTGTTTATAGGTTGAACGTATTAACCTCTTACTTTCATTTTGCATATTTCCCTTGCAATTTTTAAGTGAAGAACAAATAGATATTAGCCTCCTATATAGCATCATTAAAATAAAATACTTTGGAGGTACACAATTTGATCTGAATGCTTCAAACCTTATATGTATGCATTTTGGGTACAAAATTTCAAACACCTTGTCACATTTAATCCATTATAATGCTATTGAATTTTGTTGGGTTTATTATAAGAAATGTTCCCATAAATAGATTCTTGGATACATTCTTCCCCTACAAATTTTTTATTTTATTTTTTAATTTTGGGTTGCTAGTGGCAACCTCTTCAAAGTCTTTTTGTTCAATTGCAGAACAACGGATTGGATCCAAGGGTGCTGGCACTACCACTAAGCCACATCCCCAGCCATTTTTATTGTTTATTGAGACAGGGTCTCGTTAAGTTCATCAGGCTGGCCTCGAACTTGTGATCTTCCTGTTTCATCCTTCCAAGTTGCTAGGAATACAGGCATGTCACTGTGGCAAGCTGAAATTTTTTGTTTCTTGTTTTTTGTTTTGGTGCTGGCAATTAACCCCAGCCTTCATTCATGCTAGGCAAGCACTATACCACTGAGCTAAATCCCCAGCCCCTCCAATAAAGTCTTTTGAAGGAGAGAGATTCTATTTGGTTCCTTTCCTCCTGGGGAAAGGATCCCCTTTCTCACTGCCAACAGAGACAGCAAAAAAAGGTAACTATATGTAAATAAATATGAAAAAAACTCACAATAAACAACAACTGATCAGCAAAGTGACTATGAATTAAACAAATACACAAATATTTATTGATTGTTTCTACACAAGTGCAGGAAAAAGACAGCATATTTCAGAACCAACTCTGAGGATTAAACAGATTGCAATATTATCTTTATTGAACATTCTCACACACACAAAATTACCTTGCAAATAATCTGCCAGGTCTCCACCATTGCAATACTGATACACAAAAGAAAAAGTAATTAAAATTAAGATAGCAATTCAAGATAAACTCAATCTATTCTAAGTAAAATTTGCATATAAATGTCATCAAAAAACATAATCAAAATTTTAAATTTTTATATTCTTATAAAGTAGAATCTAAATCACCAAATCAATTTTATTAATTTAAAATTTATTTTTTTGAGGGGGGCATACTGGGGGTTAAACTCAGGGGCACTAGACCACTGAGCCATATCCCCAGCCCCATTTTGTATTTTATTTAGAGACAGGGTCTCACTGAGTTGCTTAGTGCCTCACTTTTGCCAAGGTTGGCTTTGAACCCATGATCCTCCTGCCTCAGCCTCCCAAGCCACTGGGATTATAGGCGTGCACCACCATGCCCAGCTAATTTAAAATTTCTAATAATAAACTAGTGTCAATTTAAAAGTACAAATTAATCAAAATGAATTTGAAATGAATTCAACGGAAACTTGTATAATACCTACCTCCATCACCAGAAAGACAGAGTTCGGCAATTCCTAAAAAGTAAACATATTAAATATCACACTTAAAAAAACTAAATGCCAAATTTTAAAATAATGATACTTTAAAAACACACTTGATCATTATTAAATTAATAAAGTGAACACACAAAATCTATCAGAAAGTGAAATGAAAAGTCCCAATACAATGATTTAAGCACCTCCTTATCAAAGTCAAAGCAAGGTTTGATAACGAGGACACAATTTATCAAGAAATTCAATTCTGTTTATGAAAAAAACTAAAGAGCAATTCATCTTTTGGTGATGACTAACCTAAAACAATATCTCAGACAAAAAGCATGGTAAATTTACTAATTATGAAAAGGGAAAGATTATTGGGTCCTTAGGGAAATAGTTGCACTTTGTAAAGTATGAGTTGGGGCTGGGGTTATAGCTCAGTCGGTAGAGCGCTCACCTCACATGTGTGAGGCATTGATTCAAGCCTCAGCACCACATAAAAATAAAATAAAGGTACTGTGTCCATCTACTATAAAAAAAATTTTTTTAAAGTATGAGATGGGCAGAAAAATGACTTATAATCCTTCCTAGTAACTCCAAACATATTTTTTTTAGTCTGATTTCTAGAAAACATGACTCAGGATGCACTGTTCTTTTCTCCTGGTTTTTATGTTTACTTGGGGCAATCACATAATCAGGCAAATTGTTGGCAAAAAAGGTTCATCAGATGTTACACCAAGATATGTTCCAAGGTTGTAAGGAACTAATTTGAGAAATTTTACAAAGTCCTTCAAATATATATATAGCTCCAGGTCTGTTTCTTGAGTAAATAATTCAAAGACTGATTAGCTGGCTCTTCAATGACAATTTTTATAACATTAACTAGATTTTAAATTGGGTCTCCCTTGGGTTTAAGCCTATGCTCAAATGTGATTCAAAATATAGTGCTTCCAGGTAGCACCTGGTTTCACCAAGATCCTAAAATCAAAAGATAAAGTATTCAGTGGGAAAAGGAAGAGGGCAGGGCAGAAGGGGGGCAGTTTAGAGCAGTAGTACTCATTGGTTCAAAGATCAACAGAAGAGGTCAAATTCCCATTTTGGTAGATATTCACAATTTAACAGGTATACCTAACTATTTAGTTTTCTCCATTAATTCACTATCTAATAAACAATTATCAACTATTATCTCACACTAGCCCACTAGTTAACTACAGAAATTAATGGAAGAATTTGAAAAGGTTTAAAGCAATTCTACAAAGGTAATTTTGTCTGCTGAACCTAATAATAAAAACTCTGGAAGCTGAGGTGTAGCTCAGTATTACTGGGTTTCATCCCCAGCACCTCCAAAAAAAAAAAAAAAAAAAAAAGAAAAGCAACAAAAACTAGATGTCCATTTTTAGGCCCTCTTTATTTCACCTTTATAATAATTCAAATTTACAAAAGTCTCGGTTCATCCAAATCAGTAATATAAACTAGTGCTTCCTGACAGCTGGTATAGATAACATTCTTCCCTGCAACAAGGAGCAACACAAAAACTGCCATGCAGTTACCACAGGTCCAAATGCTGCAATTCAAAAGACCTCAATGTAAAAGTATGTCTATAAAAAACTCAGGACTGGGACTGAGTTGTAGTTCAGTGGTAGAGCACTTGCCTAATATGTGTGAGGCACTAGGTTCAATTCTCAGTACCGCATATAAATAAATGAATAAAATAAAGGTTCATCAACATCTAAAAAAATTTTTTTAAAAAAACCTCAGGATGATTTGCTAAACATTTCTCAAGAAGACTAATAAATAATCAAAATACATTCTGCCCAATCAATGCTTTGATCCAAGAGTTATGCAGAAGTTCACAAGAATGGAGATGCCATTTTCTGTTAAGGAAGGAGGARCCAGTTTCTACCATAGCAGAACCCCAGAATGAAAAGCCTACAAAACTAGCTTGACTTCCTAACAGCAGGGCTCCACTGACAAATCAGAAAGGAGGCGAGAACAGCCAGCACCCAAAAGCTGAGAAGATCAAATTTGTAAGAAATAAATGTTTCCTCACATCAGAAATGAAAACAAAATATATTTATAAGAGTTAAATCATCTTTACTGCAAACCAAATAGTTTTCCTCACAAAACCTGATCAAACCCAAACCAAATATCATGTAATCCCTAAAATAATGAAAAATCATTCAACATTGACAACTTTCAATAATATTTTCTTCTTCTCAAGTATAAAGTACAATATTATCTCAAATCAGTGTTGCTTACTCTTGTAACAGCACCATATCCAAATACTGCAGAGAAAAGAGAGCTAGGAATTCTTAAGAGAGGCTCAACAGCCATAAATAACTTCCGATCACTCAACAGAAGAGGTCAAATCCCCATTTTGGTAGGTATTCACAATTTAAGAAATATACCTAACTATTCAGTTTTCTCCACTTATTCACTATTTAATAAATAATAAATGAAATATCCTGATCTCTCATGCACACCTCCTTTTGCCCACCTTCAAAGCCGTGAAGATCTCATTCTTTTCTTTTTTTTTTTTTTTTTAAAGTTTATTTTATTTATTTACTTATTTTTTAGAGAGAATGAGAGAGGGAGAGAGAATTTTAATATTTATTTTTTAGTTCTCGGCRGACACAACATCTTTGTTGGTATGTGGTGCTGAGGATCGAACCCGGGCCGCACGCATGCCAGGTGAGTGCGCTACCGCTTGAGCCACATCCCCAGCCCTCATTCTTTTCTCTTGAATACCCCCTCCTTTTAGGCCCCCCTTTACAAAATAGTGCATTTTTAAAAATGAAGTGCATAAGTAATATGGAACATCAGTCACTAAGAGGAAAGAGTTAATAAAGAAAAAAGAAAATGTTCTTTTTCTTAACAGAATCAGTCAAGTCACTTATAGACAAATTGAAACAACTGGTATTGGGACACCAAAGAACTTCAAAGACAGGGACTTGTATAATCAGAAAGACTGAGAAGTGAATCAGAACACCAAGAATTTGCCATGGCTACACACTTCACATAAATTCTCCTTTCCTGATACCTAGAAATCCTCATTCTCTGCTTCTCTCCAGCACCTCCAACCCACAAAATTAAAGTCATAGAACTTTCACTCCATCATTCCCCTACTCAAACTCCTTAATAACTAACAATTAAAACCTGTAAGAGTTAAAACCTAGTTACTGGGCTGGAGATATAGCTCAGTTGGTAGAGTGCTTGCCTTGCATACACAAAGCCCTGGGTTCAATCCCCAGCACCACCAAAAAAAAAAAAAAAAAAAAAGCATAAAACCTAATTACTAAAAACCAAAAAGAGATATTATGAACAATTGTAAGCCAATATGAAAAACAATTTGATGAAAAACACAAAATGATAAGAGAACATTTGAAAAAGCTCTTAGCTATTAAAGAAATTGAACTGTAATTTAAAACCTTTCTACAAAGAAATTCCCAAGATTCAATGTAATCTCAATAAAAATCCTAGGATGTTTTGGTTCTACAGAAACTGAAAAGTTGATTCTAAAATTTATGTGGAAATGGAAAATGTCAAAAGTAACCAAATGTAATCTAGAAGAATAAAAACAAAAATTGAAAGACTTATCACTATGTTTCAAGGCTTAACTATAGTAAGAAAAAAACAATGGTAAAATCCTGAAGTTAGAGAGTTTAGAAATGAGCCCACACATAAGTGGCTACTCATTTATGACAAAGGAAACACTACCAGACAAAAGGAAAAGGGTATTTAGGTCAATAAATGGTTATAGGTCAAATGGCTACCCATTTGTAAATGTGACTAAATCCTGACCTCTATTTCATGCCAAACATAAAAATCACTTCCAGGTGGATGGCAGAGCTAAATGTGAAAGGCAAAACAATAAAGACTAGAAAAAAAATACAGAATATCTTCATGACTGTAGGGTAGATAAAGTCTTCTTAACTATGACACAAACAACTAAATACAAAAGGAAAATAAACAATAGCATGGACTACACTGAAATCAAGAATTTCTGTTCATTAAAATAAACCACTAATAGAGTAAAAAGGAAAGTTACAGTGTGGGATAAGTCACCTCAAATACATATGTCTGGTAAGACTCAAGTCCACAATAATATAAAGAAATACAGGGGCCAGAGTTGTGGCTCAGTGATAGAGTGCTGGCCTCACATGTGTGAAGCACTGGGTTTGATTCTCAGCACCGCATATAAATAAATAAATAAAGTCCCTAAACAACTAAAAATATATATTAAAATAATATACTTTAGGGTCTAAATTGCTCAGGCTGGACTCAAGCTTGCTATCTTAGTCTCCCAAATCACTTAAATATTACAAGTATATGCCACCATGATTGGCTAATCTCCAACAAATTAATAACAAAAAGGCAACCCAGTGGAAAAACAGGCAAGATATTTCCATATTAATTTCCAAAAAAAAGATATTTATTTATTGGTACTGGTGATTGAACCTAGAGGTACTTTTCCATTGAGCTATATCCCCAAGCCCTTTTATATCTTTTATTTTAAGATAGGATCTCACTAAGTAGCTCAAGGCCTCACTAAATTGTTGAGGCTGGCCTTAAACTTGTGATCCTCCTGCCTCAGCCTCCCAAACTGCTGAAATTACAGGTGTCAGCCACCACACCCAGCATCAAAAAGATAATTATATGGCTAATAAACATACAAAATGTGCTCAAATCAGTAGTCAACAGGAAAATGCAAATGAAAATCATAATTAATGTCTAAAAAAGCCAAGTGTTGGCAAGGATGTGGAGCAACCAAACTGTCAAACATCTGTTAGTAGGAGTACAAAGCAATTCACTGGCAGTATCTACTAAAGTTGGGCCCCCACATGCCCTATGATCCAGAAATTATTCTCCTAGAGACTGTCCCTAGCTATACTTATTTCAGCACAGAAGAATGGTGAAGGGGAAACTGAAGGAGAAACCACAGCAACAAGCTGTTTTCACTGCTCCTATGTACTTCTTAAGGGGGCRCTGAGGTGGAGAGAAAGTAAAAATGCTATAAAATCAAGAAGGAGGTCAATTTG